TCTCCACACAAGGTCTTTCAGTGGCCCTCACAGCTCCTGAGCTTAAATCAATCAGCACACGTGGCTCCTTTGGTTCTGGCTCTGGTTCCTGCCCAGATTCACCCCATACTCCCCTCCAGCTCTTCACCACATCTCTACTTATTTATGTAAATTGTTTTTGAGAGGTGTCTCATTCTGTCACTCAGGCTGGAATGCAGTGGTGCAATCATAGCTCACTGCAGCCTTGAATTCCAACCTGCCTCAGCCTCTGGAGTAGCTGGCAGTATAGGTACACAGCATCACAACTGGCTTTTTATTTTTTCTGTACGGACAGGACCTCACTATGTTGCCCATTTTTCCCAGGCTGATCTCCAACTCCTGTCCTCTAGCAATCCTCCCGCCTCAGCCTCAGCCTCCCAAAGTTCTTTGCTTCTCACTTTTTAGTGTAAAAAGCCTAGACTGGTTAGAAATTCTGAATTTAAATCCATGCTCTGTGATACTGGGTGTTCACTTTTCTTTTTCTGAACTTCAGGTTTTTTTCATCTGAAAAATGGAAATACAACCTGCCACCCCCGGAGAGTCTTTTAAGAATTGAAGATTTGTTTAAAGCATGTAGCTCAGAGTAGGGATACAATACACAATGGCCATCATCATCTTAGTCATTACCCAACAGTTACGAAGCTTCACTGGTTCTTCTCGCGAGATAATCTGAGCAATGTGTTTCCATACTGCCTGCTCCCCATGTCTCTCTTTTCTGATGTCATCGCACATGCTTGGTGATGGTGCTGGCCAATTGTGAGTGTACGTTCACGTCTGGGTCCTTAGCTCCAGTTCTTCAGCCACCACTGTGGCCTGGCATAAAAGATTCATAAGACAAGGTGGGTGAGGTCAGGTGCAGTGGCTCATGCCCGTAATCCCAGCACTTTGGGAGGCCCAGGCAGGTGGATCAAAAGGCTAGGAGATCGAGACCATCCTGGCTAACACTCTGAAACCCTGTCTCTACTAAAAATACAAAAAATTAGCTGGGCATGGTGGTAGGAGCCTGTAGTCCCAGCTACTTGGGAGGCTGAGGCAGAAGAATCGCTTGAACCTGGGAGGCAGAGGTTGCAGTGAGCTGAGATCATGCCACTGCCCTCCAGCCTGGGCAACAGAATGAGACTTTGTCTCAAAAAAAAAAAACAAGGTGGTGAAAAGATGTGGCACCAGAGGCATAACTAATCCAGAGAAAGGCCACTGGGAGCACTTCTGGACCTACCAAGTACACAATTTACACATGTAAATTGTGTATTCAAAAAAAGGTTAATCAGAGACTCAAAAGAATGCAATCATTTGTCTTGTCTACTTATGACCTGGAAGCCCCCTCCCACGCTTTGAGTTGTCCCGCCTTTCTGGACAAAATCAAGGCACGTCTTACACACATTGATTGATGGCTCACATCTCCCTAAGACATGTAAAAGCAGGCTGTACCCCAAACCATCTTAGGAACATGTCCTCAAAACTTGCTGAGGGTGTCTCATGTCCATAACTTTGGCAAAATAAACTTTCCAAATTATTTATGGAGACCCGTCTCAGATATTTTGGGTTCACAGTGAAAAAACTTACTCCTGAGGCCCTCAGCCTCCTGCTGGACAGCGCTGACTCGAGTCTTCTTTGGTGATCCTAGGGAGTTCTCATCAGCCCCCTTCTGGTGGAAGAGCACGTGGGCATTCAGTATCTTTGGAGTACACAAGTGTGTGTGTTTGCTTTACTGCATGGCATTAAAGAGGTTTTCTTTTCTTGACAATCTAAAACAAATGGCCCATGAATCCTGCAAGTAACTACTCACTAAATGTGTTACGTGCAAAGTACAGGTAAAATGAGGGTCTTTTTAGAGTATTGCTTAGAGTGGAAGTCAGGGGACCTCAGTTCTGGCACTAAAATCAATCCCTCATTTGGAGGGTGATACTGGGGAGAAGGGACAGGAAATAAGGGAGTTGTTCAGTACTAGCATGAGGGAAAGAGGGTAAATATCCTATGGAAGGCAAATTTCAGCAAATGGCAATTAACATTTAGAAGTAAGTTCTGTGGCACTGGGTGGGATCAACCCTGGCCTCATTTGGCCATTTCTGCAGACCGGCCAAATCTACGTAAATTCTGGCAGTGATACTCTATTTAATCCTTAAAATTTACCACCATCGAATGCCTGACTACAGAGGCATGATCTAGAACTCTAATATAGTGACTCTAATACAGGCGGATATTTGGAAATGCGCCTAGCATACCTCAAAATTAGGCTTCAGAAATGCTAAGATCTCTGCAAAATGGTTTTCAAATAGTGAATTGCGGTTGGGTTTTTTGATGTACCTTCCCTCATTCATTTTTTGTCCTGGGAGTGGGGATTTGGAGGTAAAGACTGCTTTGCCACACTGACAATCAATACAGTGGTAAAAGGCAGGTGCTAAAAATAGGTTCTCTAATTAATTATGCTCCTACATAAAAAGAAATCTGAAAATTTTATTGGACAACTACTTCTTCTGAAACTACTTTTAAGGTTAGATTTCTTTCTTTATTAGTTTCTCTTTGATATTCATTTCATCCCCCACCGACTCATGGTTCTACAGCTAGAGCAGCAGTACTAGAAAAAATAAAGTCCATTCCATTTTCAATTTAAAGAATCCTACTTCCAGTTTTATAGAAAACTAAATTAAAAACCAAAACTAACGGAAACTATCCGTTTGTAAATCCTTACCTTGATCATAAACTTTTGCTCTATTTTCTTTGCCAAAGCATTCACACTCCAGGGCTCGTCATTTAGGTCTAAGTCTTCTGTAACTGTGTCATTCAATTTATAGCACTTTCCTTTTCCATATCCCCTAGAACCCAGAGATCAGACAAACATGATAAGGTTAAAAACAAGCATCCTTATCCCCACCTTTTATTTCTATGCTCTGTTTACAAATAAAGCAGCTGACTGCCATTTTAAACATCTAAGAAAAATGTAGCAACGATTAATTCAATTTATAGAATAAACTTTTCAAATTGAAGGGGTAAAACCAGTTACATCAAGCTTGAAAAATCCAGAATGAAATGAGATCAAAGAACAAAGCCAATATGTCCTGCACCATAAAGGTGAGTGTGGATGATAAGGGAGAGAGAGCAGGGGAGAGGCTGCTGGCTGGGTGGTGAGTGCGCACTGTCTCCAGGGATCCTCCCCACCTGTCCTTCATGAAGGAAGAGCAGGGGCCTGTGTGTGCTGCCCATTGTATATAATGACACTCAGTGCATAGTTTTCTGAGGGCACCTTTTTATTTTGGGGACCCTCCACCTTCCTGGATCTACACTTCACCCATCTTCACCAATTTCCAAAGAGCAATTCTGCCAAGCCATTCCCGAAACTGTAAGGCTCCACGTTCAGCATCCAGGGAAAGTATGCTTTAGCAAAAATCCATATTCATGTGGATTAATAACAGCAGGACCCAATTAAGTCAGATAATATAGGAAGATATGATTTCCCAGTTTAATCCCAGAATAACTACCTCTTCAATTTAATTACAGTATCTCAGAAAGGCCAACTCTGGAAAAGACTAAGTTGCCCCTGGTTTGAGCATTAAACATTTTCCTTCACAGCAATGACAAGGCTTCCCTCTAGAAATGAGGGCTGCTGTGCAGAGAATCTGCCTGTTCATGAGCAGCAGCTGCTCCAGACAAGGGGCTCCTGGAACACCAGGGCCACAGCCTTTCACATGGTGAATGAAATGTGGAAAAGAAAAGTTACTTTTTTTTTTTTGAGACAGAGTCTTGCTTTGTCACCCAGGCTGGGATGCAATGGTGTGATCTTAGCTCACTGAAACCTCCACCTCCTGGGTTCAAGCAATTCTCCTGCCTCAGCCTCCCAAGTAGCTGAGATTACAGATGTGGGTCACCCTGCCCAGCTAATTTTTGTATTTTTAGTAGAGACAGGGTTTCACCTTGTTGACCAGGCTGGTTTTGAGCTCCTGACCTTGTGATCCTCCCACCTCAGCCTCCCAAAGAAAAGTTATCTTTATTTGTTCATCATATTTAGTGGATCATCTAATCTCCCAGTCAAATCCAAATCTCATTAGGTCAATTACCAAGACACCAGGTTAAGGCTTAATGTAGGTCCTTTCCACTGAAACAGAATTCACAAACAAAAGCAAATACAAAGAAAAAAAAAAACTCACCAACCCTGATCTATGACGTAACTTTGAACTTGATAAATGAATGTGTAAAGGTGATTTTAATGAATTATTGTATACTATTCCTACTGCATGTATCTTCATCTTCCTTCTAAATGGTCATGACCCCAAATCTCCTTCCTGGTTATAAAGTGGTGTGGTAGAAAGATTCCTTTTGTTTTTGTGGCTTTTTGACTACAGTTCCCTGAAGAGACAATACAATGCTCATTGCATTTTAGGGGTCTCCTCCCCAGAACTGACCTGTGGAGTGCATTTATTGGAATGGCAAATCTTCCTTTAATTAGGGTGGATGTGAATATTGAAAACACCTACATACATAGACTCAAATGTGAAGAAGAACAATTTTCAAGCTTCAACATCTTTGAGGCTTCTAGGCCCCAAAGGAGCCCCGTGAGTTCCCCTGCTCCTGGCTGGCTTGTTCCCCTGTCGGCTGAACCAGTGTCCCCCATCAATCCTCAACCTCATGTGTCTCCAGCCCCTGCCAGCCCATAACACAAACAAGCCAACCACATCCTCCCACAGGCACCAGAGGCCACCACACCCCCTTGTTCTTATAAAGCCTGCCTCTGTGTCCCTCTGCTTCACTCTATTCCTGAGTGCACCCCTTGTGTGGTCCTGCCTGGTGCGTGGTGTCCTCTTCCCCAGGCCATGAGTATATGTCACTCACAAACTGCTGTTGATGACATCTGTCTAGTGCAAGTGTCATGTGTTCAGCTACCTTGTGCTACTTAGGGTGAGGTATTCCTCCTTCACCAGCATGGTGAACGATGATGATACATCCCAGGGGTGCAGCTGGGAGCCACCAGCAGCCAGGTGATGGGTAAATCATTTCTAAGAAAGGATATTGGCAAAGCACCACAGTATTCACTAAAGTCAATCCCTTCCACTGCACAGATCAACTTGTTTTTGACAGGAAGTTTGTTTCATTTGAGAAAGCACTGGATCACTGAGCACCAAGTAGATTCTTCCCTATGTTGTGTTGTGTGGCAGCAGGCTGGCCTCCCACTGATAATCAGAGTCAATTTTCCCTGCAGGTTGTGAATTTTTCTCTTCTGAATAGTTTCTTGGCACCAGAAATAAAAGTGATCGGGCAGCAGCAATAGCTGAAAGTTCAGTGAGACTCTTAGGCCCACTGAATTTCCTTCTGGAAGCCAGGACCTCTTAACATGTAGAGCTTGAAATTGCAGGGACCAGAGTGTAAATTTCAAGTGACTCACAAAGGGTCATGAAGAAGGTGCTGCCCTCTCTATTTTCCATCCCTTACACCAAGTGAAGACACAGCAGTGTTATGTAACAATAATTGATTTAAGGTGTATACCCTATCTTGGAAAATAGTACCCGTGGTAAATTAAAAATGGCTAAAGATTTTTTGCTACTGGTCCCACTGAGATGTCATTGAGAGGGAAAGTCTATTTTCCTTCCTTCTCAATTTGGGCCAGGTCTGTGACTCGTGCAGTTACTAGTGTGCTACAAAAGTGATACCCCATGAGGCTGGGCACAGTGGCTCATGCCTGTAATCCTAGCACTTTGAGAGGCCAAGGCAGGTGGATCCTTTGAGTCCAGGAGTTCAAGACCTGGGCAACATGGTAAAACCCCATCTTTACAAAAAAAATGCAAAAATTAGCCAGATACTGTAGCAGGAACCTGTAGTCCTACCTAATCAGGAGGCTGAGATGGGAGGATCACCTGAGCCTAGGAGGTCGAGGCTGCAGTGAGTTGTGACTGTGCCACTGCACTCCAGCCTGGATGACAGAGTGGGAGGCTGTCTCAAAAATTTAAATAAATAAATAAATAAATAATAAAACAGTTGATGAGATAACAAAAATCTATTACATACCGTGGAACCCTATGCAGCCATAAAAGAAAGGCACTTCCTTGGCAGCAACGTGGATGCAGCCGCAGGCCATTACCATAAGTGAACTAAGGTCCTAACAGAAAACCAAATGCTGCAGGTTCTCACTTACAAGTGGGGGCTGAACTATGAATACACCCGAACATAAAGAAGGGAACAACCACACTGGGAATAACTACCAGACCAAAAAAAAAAAGGGGGGGGAGGGGAAGAATGTGCTGAAGACCCACCCTCTGGGGTCCTCTGTTGGGACCCCAAGCCCTGAGGCAATCAACAGATGTAACTAACCTGCATGTGTACCTATTTATCTATAATAATAACAGTGAAGAACGTTAAAAGAAGAAGTCAAGATTAGAAGCCAAGAAAATAATAAATGAAAAAACACAATCTATAATTACCCAAACACACAGAATGAGGACCCAATAGACAGAATGAGGCAGCCAAATACTCAACCCAACATGATATGTAGGGAACATGTTTTTCAAAACACCAAAAAGATACCATGATGTGAAAGGGAGAGTCTGGTTTAATCAATGATTTTGAGAAAACGGAATATCCACAGGCAAAACACTGAAATAGGACCCTTACATTGCACAATACACAAAATCAGCACAAAATGAATTGAAAACCTAAACTCAATCTTGAAACTGCAAAGGTCCTATAAGAAAACATAGGTTGGGTGTATATTTTAGGAAACCTGTATCTACACACATGGGCTGCAAAAGGTAAAAAATAATTGTAACACTAAAGGGAAAATTAGGGGACTACACCCACAGACAATGCAATGGCTTGGCTCTGTGTGTGTGTGTGTGTGTGTGTGTGTGTGTGTGTGTGTGTGTGTGT